CGCGGACCACGTGTCAGGGGCGGAAAATGGCTGGGGACCACGTGTCAGGGGCAGAAAAATGGCCGCGGACCACGTGTCAGGGGCGGAAAATGGCTGGGGACCACGTTTCAGGGGGGGGAAAATGGCCGCGGACCACGTGTCAGGGGCGGAAAATGGCTGGGGACCACGTTTCAGGGGGGGGAAAATGGCCGCAGACCGTGTCACAGGAGGGAAAAAGGCCGCGTATCCTGCTCGTACCCCGAGGCGGAGTTCGCAAACCGAAGCAAAATTTTGCGGCCGGAGCTGGTCGTAACCCGAAAAGGTTGTTAACAGAAGCGTTCGTAACCCGAGGTTCCACTGTATATGGGAATCTCTCTCTCTCTCTCTCTCTCCCCCCCATTCTCTCTTTAATGAACCTGTCATGAAGGAACTGAACTTCATCTTTACCTTTAGCTGCACTCTTTGTGCACGTGTTTCTTCTATCTTCTGTCTAATTTTCTCCCTCCTGTATTCCTCATACGCAAAAGGATTTACCATCATTTTAACCTGTAAACGCAAAGCAATTAGGGAGAAAAAGGAAGAACTCACAAGTCATTGCATAATTCTGTCATTTGATTTAATGCTCTCTGTTATTTGCTGGACTTATATTCATGATGGCTAGCAAAAATTAGAATTAAACTAAAAATGGGACTATGTACTAATTAAACATTGCTAAAAGGTATCAGTAAAATGAAACACAGAGCAACCAACTCATTAAAAGTCATCTCATCCAGCCAGCCAAAAGCCTGCCAGAAAACAAGGACTATATCAGAAAGGGAGCTAGCCTGCATACCTTATGATACAGTCGTATGTCCATGAAAAAGCCATGCATGTATGCCCGGAGAAGTGGTGATCCAATAAGATGAGAAAGCCCTGGAAACAAAGGAGAGGTGAGGGACAGAGGGAGAGAGATACACATATTGAACCTGACCTTAATATAACATAAAATAAAAAATAAATTTCAGGGTACTTTGCAGAATACAGTTTTCTACTTTGGCATGTATGTGTGACTGTGGCTAAGATGCTGTCCTGTACAAAAATTATACATGTTACTGTTTCACAGCTATAACACCGAGAATTAGGAGGTTAGGAAAGGCTATTTAAGTGATTCAGTCCAACTCTCCAGTTTAGTACAGGGATTCAGATTAAAGCATCCCAACAGATGGCTCTCCAGCCTTAGCTTGAGCATATCCAGTGAAAGGAAGGTCACTGCTCTTTTGGTAATTGGTTCCACTGTTGACTGCTTTCATCAATGAAGCTTTATCTCACATTTGGTTAAAACCTGCCTTCCTATAACTAACTAAGATCTTCAAACCAATAGGTCTTGTACTGCACTTATTTATAAGTATGTTCTAAATAAAAATGTTTTAAAAAAAGACTAGATTTTTCAGGGTGAACCATCTTCAGGTGCTACCATCATTGGATGTCCTGAGTCCAGGGCACAAAACAAGTTACTTGGTCATTTACTTTTACATTTTTTTTGTGTACTTCACATTTTTTGAGTCAGTTTTAACTTCTGGAGATCATCTAGACAAGTCCCTAGAGTTTTCTTGGCAAGGTTTTTCAGAAGTGGTTTGCTCTTGCCTCCTTCCCAGGGCTGGGAGAAAGTGACTGGCCCAAGGTCACCCAGCTGGCTTTCATGCCTCAGGCAGGACTGGAACTCACCATCTCCCGGTTTCTAGCCTGGTGCCTTAACCACTACACCAAACTGGTTCTCTTTACATTTACTTTACATGTTACATACTGTATATATTCACTCATCTTCCCAACATTGATCCTGGGAAAGTGTTATAAACAAAGGAGCCAATGTCTTCCAAGGTGAGTCTGGCTCTTTTACACTGGATTATTTTTCAACATGGGTGCAGTCATACTGCAAAGCTCTGGAAAGCCAGAGCCATTTTCCAATGCAATAGATGGAATTTATTTCTACAGCTAAAATAAAGAGAGCAACAGAAGTGCTCTTCCTTTTGCTACCAACGTTAGCACTTGCTATGAGTTAAGAATGAGCAAAAGGAACAGCCAAGCTACAAGATGGAGGTTCTTCACCAACGTGACTTAGAGTGATCTGCTATAGATGTGGATGAAGCCAATGCACAGCACAAAGTAAGACACAAGGTTTAGGAACATCACTGTAGTGAAAAGAGAACCTTGTCCAAACCTGTTATACTGTTGAAGTCAAGTCAATACATACCAGCAAAAAATGGTATGCATTCATTTATATGGAGGAAAACGTTAAAACCTGCTCTGGGGACATCACCAGAATGTGTTGGAGATGCTTACAATTTGAGAAAGCTTTCTTCAATTACAAAAATCCCAAAAAAAGATTGTGACCAGTCACTCTCTCTCAGCCCAACTCACCTCAGAGGGTTGTTGCTATGGGGAAAATAGGAGGAGGAAGGAGAATTAGGTATGTTCACAGCCTTGAGTTATTTATAAAAATAAGAAAGGAGGGATAAAAAAATCTAAAATATGAGAATAAAAGTAAATGAACTTTTAGAAGAAATAACTTTCTAGGCACAAAAAAGTAATCTTGTGGTGCCAACATTAATACAGATTGGACTTATGATTCCAGGTCACCAACACAGACTCCCTGTAAAGTGTAAGATAACCACTTTATGTCCCTGTTATTTAGCTACAAATCTTAAGAAATGAAAATTTTAAGTATTCCTAAAATTGTAAATGCAAGGCACAAATAGATTTTTTTTTTAAAAAAACTTAGGTTTAATGTTAGTGTAAATGATATATACTTTTAAGGTTGATTTTTTAAAGCAAATATATTCCCATGTTTAACTGAGTTCCCCTAGGTAAAATATATTGCTACAGATTTATGTAGAGTTTTAACAGATTACTTCTAAATTAAACCAGTTTAATTTTCCCCAATTACCAATAAGGAATTGAGTTTCATATGCCCAAAAGACAAGCAACTTTTAAATTAGGAAATAGGTCTATCTCTTTTGCAGGAGAATTATTCCTGCAAAAATGTCAGTTACATATGTATTTCTTTTCCATAATATTATAAGATAATGAAATTGTGGCAATTAGCGATTTGAATTGGCTAATATAAACCATTCTTTCAACTTGGATCAAGGCAGAAATCAAGGCCCTCTATTTGAACTAGGAAAATAAGGAAACCATAACTGGAATCTTCTACCAAAGACCTGGGACAGGAATGCAAATGCATTTCTTCTTGGAGTACCCCGTAGCCACTAAGGTGCATCTAAGTACAGTAAAGAGAATATCTGAGATCATACCCAAAGAAAAAAGGTAAGACAAAATAAATCTTATCTACAGCAATAATAATTTACCAAGGTTTTCAAGATCTTTTCTTGTTACAAATTTATAGTCATCATAAACTGTTGTCTCTGGGTTCTCCTCCAGCTCTTCTGTCAGATTATCAAGAAATGAGCACCATTTTGGAGCAGGACCTAAAACCTGTAGATATATTATAGTTAAATGTGATGGCAAATTATTTCGGTGAAAGCCCAATGGCTGTTGATAGATCTCAAAATGATTGTTTCCATTTCCTCCCAAACGAGGGTGGCTCAGCTCTTTTCCACTGTTGATATCAATCTCTCTTCTGCTACCATGAGCACACAGTCACACCCAGTGAACCAAGATTAACTGAGTAAACTGTAATATGTACAATGCATTATCAAGGTGAATGTTGAAAGCCCTCTCTCCAGACAAAAGGAAAAAGGAAATAATGGCACCTACCGAATGGAACTTTAGATGCCCCACTCCCTTTCCAATTCTGTCGGTGGCAATAATATAGGGAGAAGGTAAACAAGACATTTCAAAAGAGAATAGCTGCTATCTAAACACCTTAGACTGCCCTACTCCACAGCAAATTGTATTTTAGGGATGCTGTGCCTACATGCTCTTCACATAATGACTAATGTAACTGTAACTAAGATTGTGTCAACCTGACAATATACAACTGTCTACACAATTCTGCTCTAGGATGAGAAAAATATGTATACAGATCAATAAAAACTGCCAGTACCAATTATACTGATACATGTTCATTACCAGGATACTTTAAGTACTTCTTTGGAATTGTTAATATAAGTTTATTTTTCAATAGGTACATGAAAAGTTGTGGGGGACCTAGAAATTATTAATGACAAAGTTTACACAACTGTGACTATAAGAATGCTCAGTATAGGAACATTCAACTTGTGTTGTCAAATGTATGACTGGCACATGTAGCTTCTTTAGCAAGAAACCTAAGTAGTGAAGTATAATTTTTCCTGATAAAACAATTTTGCTAGTTGGAGATTTGGGTTCCAATAAAGATGCATTTCATATTAGTCCTCCAGCTATTTTTTCTATCCTTCATCAACATTTCAAGGCTATGACCTGAAAACTGTAATTATAATTTTTTTCAAACACACACAGAAAACATTCTTTCAGGATTAGCTATTAAATCCTCATCTTGTAGTTGTGTTTGCCCATACTACTGACAGCTTCCTCATTAACCTACTTTCTAGTTTATTGAGAATAATGCTGTTAACCTATTCACTTTCCTTTCATTATAATTATGCCACTCTTTGTCATAGGCTTCCTTTCTTCCCCCACTAGATACACCCAAGGATTATCATTGCTACCATTCATTTTTCCCCTCTATGCTAGACAAACACAGCCCTATCAGGCTCTTTGGTTCCCTTCCCTTATTTCTCCCCTATTGCTCTTGAATACTTTCCCTATCAGTACTGTCAGAACAAGTACACCTACCCTTGCTTTTCCTTCAAACAAATCTTTCCAAAAAATACACATAAGGTCACATTTTCTCAACATTAGTTACACCATCACCTACTCTTTCTTTACTTAGGGCTGCCTAAATATGAGAAAAGAATATATGCAGGATCAGTCTGCTGACTGCAGATTACAGTATTTCCAGATTGGTTCACCATCACATGTTGGGTTTCTACCATTTTATTCATAAGCAGAGAGAGAAAGCAGAGAAGTACTATATTATTGTTCTCAACAACTCTGAAAAGACAGAGAACCTAAGTGGGCTACAGGCACCAATTTGAGCCAGTGGAGCAGCTTCAGGTGAGTGATTCTGTTAAAACTGCATTCAAGAAGGAAAGAGTTTAAACTCCCCTTCTGCCAGCAGCTATCCTGATGCTCCTTCCTTTGCTTTTTAAAAGCATGCACAGTAAATGACAAGCCACACTGAATATCACTCATTTATGGTCATTACACTGACACAGCAAACCCCAAACCTGCAGTGCAGGAACCATTCCACGTTTCTCCTCCTCCTCTCCTTTGAGCAATCAGAAGCAAAGGAGGGAAGGTCCACTGGATTTTAAACAGCTGAACAAAAGAGAGTTTCACCACCATAAGCTTGTCAAGCAGAGGTAAGAAAACCTGTTTCAACTAAAATGTTGTGTTCTACACAACTATTAAAGGACTTCTATTCTCCTTTCTGTCTGATCACCTTCTTCAGTCTCTGTTTCTGCTTTTGTCTCCTTCTCCTCAAAAAGAAATCCAAGGGGAGGGAGGAGAAAAAAAAGAAAATAAAGGTGGTGGGGTTTTTTTTCCAGACCACTGTAGGTCTGGACATGAATCCATTGCTGGCCTCTACCCCACTGACTGATACCATATCAGCCTTCTCCAATCAGGTTGCCACACCAGGCTGAGAGTTACACTGCAACACACTGGGAAGGCTACACTAAGTGTCCAACAGAAAGTCAGTGGACCATCATGAAATTCTGTCTAGAATTGTGGTGTGGACTATGGGCACAATCTTAAAAATAAGGCTTCCCGTGGATCTTCCCATGGACAAACAGCTTTTTTCCATGAATGTCCTGCTTTGAGATGCTGCCCAAACAAAGCATAATGTGTACTATTCTATTTCTGTGCTAATGTTGACCAGCCTAGGGATTTTTAAAATTATTATTAATCCAGACCAATTCAGCATCATTCTTTATGTGTCACCCTTCAATATTCCAGAATCTTGTTCTGATTTCTTTCCTCAGTCACTGTTAATTACTATGAGGATTAAGGATACATTTGCTTAGTCTTATGAGCAAGTTGCTCCAAGGAAAAGAAAGCATGAGAACGCCAAATAACAAGCAAGCTCTGCAAGAGATAATTTTAATTCATTTCCTTCTTGCTGTGCATTTTTAATTTCTCTTCTCTTCAGGTGGGGAAAGAGTTGTCTGTAACTCCTTGAACATCCCTGTGGCAAGATTCTCTAATTCTGAAGCTTGCTCATTTCTAAGGCCAGATATTTAATACAGTTTGAGTCATCTATATTACAAGAGAGAACAAATGCCAAGGTTATTCATACATACAATGGTGAAAGAAAGTTCATGAACATTTAAAACATCCATAATCTTGCAATACTGTGACCTACAATGTGATGTGAGCTTCATCTAAGTCTCATTAAGAGATCAAGAGATTCTGGTTAAATAAACAACACAGGATACTGTCACATCTTTTTACAGAACACACTGAGCCAATATTCACTGTCTTTGTTCAGAAAAAAATTGGGGGAACCTCCTTTGGCAGCAATAGCTTCACCCCAATGTCTCCAGTATCTATTGATCAATCCTTTAATATCAACTTGGAGGTATTTTGGCCCATTCTTCTTTACAGACACTGCTTCAACTCACTTCAGTTTATGCCATAACATTTCAGCTGGGTTCAGGTCAGGATTCTGACTTGATCATTCCAAAATCTGACTCCATTTACCCCCTTAAGAGAGCTGATTATCCTAGGGCTTCACATACTGTTTCTAATTAAGGAAGTAAATATTAGGTCAGTATGTTCAATTAAGGGATGACACAGTACACTGTTTAGGCTGGTTTGTTTAAGCAGAATTTCTTTTCTATTAATAGGATTTAGATAAAGTGGGTCATAGTACTACAGAATTACAGACAAATATAAAGGTTCAGAAACTTTCTGGTACTACTCCAAAATCATCCTGCTGCACATTTCTCCACAATAACCAACTATCACCTGCAGAGGTGCAGGTCAGTAGAAACTAATTATGATGGTGGAGGCAATCAGGATTGTTAACAGCCACACAAACCATACATTGCCTCTCCATACTCAGTACCAAATCTTGTATAATCAGACTCAACAGTGCTCTTCAATACTTGACAAGCATACTAGTCCATATATTTGGAGAAAGGATCTTCCCCCAGTTTTTCCCAGATTTGGAAGGATGCATTATATTGTAGGAATATGCCAGTTTTTCCTAGAGATCTGAATGCAAAAGCAGTTGCCTATAATTTCCAAATATTCCTACAAAAATCCTTCTTGTACCTAAGTCTACAATTACTTTGTAAAACAGCAGAAAGGCCACTGTTAAAATGGTCTTCTAGCCAAACTATGATATGTCACTAAATTAGACTGTCATATTGGTCACAGAAATTAATATCTGTCCTTCCCAGTAGGTATAACTACCCAATGCCCTTTTGTTGTTAAAATCTAGAGGTGGAGGTACAATTCCATCAGCTCAAGTGATGGCATAGTGAGGACCACACTCCATAATGGATGGGATCAGGATCTCTTGTAAGGGTCAAGGTAGCTATCTCACTTTATATCTACCCAACCACACACATACACACTCCCCCCCAAAAAAGTGGGGGGAGGGAAATTGGCCTGAATTTTTTTGGTCTTTGCAACTCTGGAAAGACTGGGAGACTGGGGCCATAAAATGGTTGCTGCGCACCATATTTAGTTTTTTTGCTCCCCTGATCCAGTGCAGCTAAGGTAGTCCTGACCAAAGAAAGGGATTCTATTTAAGCCCAATGTGATGGGAATCCCAAAGCTGCATTGGTTAGCTACTGAAGCAGCATTTGTTTTCACAACTCTGCTGTGTTTCCTATTCTATTTCAGGATAATTATTCAAATCTTAAAATAAGGATGTCACAACAGATGGACCAGGATTAAAAACTGAACAGAATTTTTTTAAATGAAAGAATGGAAAACACATATCAAGCCAAGCCATGAACTTCCTTGTATTACTAATGATGTATTCTTCCCTCCACACAGGCATTTTCCAATATTCATCACCTGAAGCTATATCTAACAATATAAATGCCATACCTTCCTCATGCCCAGTTCCCAACCTACTCATGGGAAGTAAGTCAATTAAAAATCACATCACTCCTATTTCTGCCCCTCCTTGACATTTTAAAGTGTGTATGCAAAATCTGAGGTCCTTGAACAGAAATCCAAAAAGTGGGCAGGGCGTGGTTCATGACTCTCCCACTTCCCACCCCACAGCCTTCTCTGCTCTCCTGCCCCCACCTACCACTTTATCTTTTCCACGACCACTTCCCTTTTGGGGGGGTGGGCCCTGGCACAATGGAAGTAACATCCTTTGTCCAAGGGCCCCATGCAGCCCTCAGTAGCCTTGACTGCTATCCCCAGAATCCCTCCCCATCTTGTCAATAAACATTAGTGTTCTATGTGATAGAGGTGGGAAATTCTTAAATCCATGGAGAATAATATTAACTAGTTAATATAATTCAGTAAAACTATTAAATTAAATCATACTTATATATGTCTCTCACCCTACTCTCTTCTTTTAGTCCTGCCTACCTTGTGAAGTGCAGCCCACAACATGCTACTTAAAGCATTTCTCCTACTAGAACATTTTATGATCCTAGGAATGTCCCCTCCCATCCAGACCCACCTTGGTCCACAGTCTACTATAGTCCCTTAACTGAAGTATCTGCCTTTCACATCTGCTTATCCCACTGCTTATCAGGCACACACGGTCTCACCCCACACCCAACAGAGCGTCCAAATGTGTTAAAAGATTCTACAGGATGGTCACAAAATTACTTCCTGAGAGTCACACACTGGATGGTTTCCGTACCCATGCCCACACACGCGCATTTCCTTTGAGGCAACATGTTATGATGGGAAGTAGAGGGTTTCCTTTGTTGTGAATAAGCCAAACGTGCTACTTTTTAGACTGAAAGTACTCATCCAAAAACTGATAGGAAGCCCACATTTCCTGTTTTGTGAAGACTCAACAATTGTCTGGCAGGTTATACTTAAAAATATTGGCAGACAAACTGCAGTCCTTCACATTACCATAAGAAGACCCAGGAAAGAAGATGAAGTTTCTAGGGAAATAAAATAGTTAATGCTGTGTGTGAAATGCACAAATAAAGCAACAAGCACATTTCTTTCTAATCTATTTTTTAAAATTTATTTCTGTTTACAGCACTGGTTGGTGACAAAAGTTGATATTGGAGTATCAACTATTTTACAATTCAGTGTGACAGTGTAAGAGACAAAAAATGTCTCAATAAGCTTTGTCCACAGTGTCCCATAAGAAGTGGAAATCAAGGGTAAGTTACCAATTAACCTCAAATGACTGTAGCACTTTTTGCAAATAAACTCTGCTATAAACAAGCATGATTCTAAAAAAAGGTGCAAAACTAGAGTGCAACAGCAGGAAATCAAAACACAGAATTCCTTATTATTCAAACCATTTGCACAGCTCAACAATCCCGCAGCAATCTTTTCCATACAGTTTGAAGGAGGACTGCTCTCGGATATCCTCCTAATATCTGAAAATCTAGTCACATCCTATTTATGAAAAAGCATTCAAGCAATGTATTCACAGGAACAGATTGTCTCTAATGGTAGCCTGCTCCCAACCCCCTTGTTAAAAGTGTAAGAGGCCCACCTGAACATATTTTGGTACATGTATGGGGTAGAAGAGATGCAAGAGGAAAGCCCTGTGATGTGACTGGAGGTCCTCTTATGTAAAGCTGTATGTAATCTAAAGTCAACCTGGGCCTTTCTTCAGAATGCACCCCAGATTTCTGACCTTGAATCTGGCCTATGACGCTTTAAAATGTTTTGCCTTAATGAATTTCTCATTTGCATTAACTTGGATTATCCAGGATGAGCAACAACCTTTAGAAACATATGAACAAAAATATATAACTATGTAACTAAAGGCCAGTCATCCAATTAAATAAATCTAAGCAAATTAATTGAATCACTTTCAGTTCATTAATTTGCATTAATATAAGTGTACATAAGAATTCTGAAGGAAAGAAAGTACACCTTGTTTTTTAAATGCCCAATGAACATGTACTAACATTTCCACCAATTTCTAAGATAGTTCTTATCAATCATGTTTTTAAAGGACTATTATTTAATTAATTGAGTTACTTTTTTTTAATCAAGTATGGTATGCACTTTTTGTTCAGAGTGAATAAAGCCAAGATGCTTGTTATGTATGTGGTATAGGTGGCAGAAAGTTGTCTTCATTTAAGTTAGAATATATCTAAGAAAACCAAGTATGATAGGTATGGCTCCAGGCCAAATAAATGCAAATGGATTTTCTAATCCAAAACTGCAGTGTTTTGAGGGATTCCATAGTACTGTTTTTTTAAAAAAATATATTATTATGAGACTGGCAATCCTAAAATGTTTTCAAGATTTCACAAAGTTCAGTAAACAGAAATGCACTCAGGATGTCTAAACACAACTACCCCAATATAATTTGGCAACAAATAGCACCTCCTTTTCCTACAAATGTTTCTTTGCATATAATATGAAACTTAGACTGAATGGATGGTTTATTTTCCTCCCTTCTCTGCCAGCATGCTTGAGATGAATATTCTCTCATTAAAACACTGCATGGCCTTAACTGTACTAGTTCTGCAACCCAAATTGCATTTTGGATTCATAATTGGATTCATACAACATCCATTCTCCACCCAACTCAGACAACACAAGCTATATAAAAAATAGGCTTTCCTCAGCAGTTTGTGAAGTGGGTTGGGAATTTCCCCCCCTCCCCCCAAAAAAATCCCATAAGCATGCCTTGAGTCCTTGGCTATTAGATTAGATCAGTGTTTCTCAAGCTTGGCAACTTTAAGTTTCCTCTTTGCTGGCTGGGGAATTCTGGGAGTTGAAGTCCACACATCTTAAAGTCGCTAAACTTGAGGAACACTGGATTAGATGATCTAAATATGCTGCAAATGAATCTCCCTTTGAATACTTCCAGAGGGTTTAAATAATCCTAAATGCAGCTACTAAGCTGTTATCCGATATGCGACATTCAGACTATATTATTCCATTGTTAATCCAACACTATTATTATTGTTGTTGTGGTCAGCCACCCAGAGTTGTGTTTCATAAGATGGGCAGCCATTAAAATAAATAAACCAACAAATAATTGGCTATCTCAATTCAAAATGCAGAGGCTAAAATTGTTTATTTCGTTTATTTATTTAATTAATTGAATGTGTTATGGCTGCCCACTTCAATAGCCTCTGGGCGGCTTACAGAATCCAAAACATGGTTAAACAGAGTTAAAAATATAAACAAGGCAGTCAGGACTGAAAACAGCCACAATGATAAAAATATGACAGCCCCCCACAAAAACACATTAACCCCAGGCCTGGGAACAAAGCCAGGTTTTAAGGGCTTTCTGGAACCCCAGAAGAGTGGATGCCATTCGTATCTCTGGGGGGGATGCTATTCCAGAGGGTGGGGTAGCACCTGAGAAGGCACACTTCCTTGGTCCCACAAGATGACAACGTTTAATACAAGGGACCTGGAGCACAGCCACTCTGTCTGAATGTAGCGAGGGGGCAGAAACAATTTGAGATAGGTGGTCCCTCAGATAACCAACCAACCCCTAAAATGATTTGATAGTGGTCTCTCTAGATCATGTTTGTGTGAAATGTGGAAAGTGGGATGTCAAATAGAGACTTCTGGTTGTGATCTTACATTTTTCAACTACTTCCCCATAGGGTCCAATAAGCTATATTCAATGTCACAATAAACAATGGATGGTCTTGACAAGATCAACCATAGAGAGCTCAGGTTTGCACGCACCTCTAGATCTCTTCTCAGGAGTAGCAGCAAAAACAGAGAACAGAAGCTTCCAATTTGTTTTTTATTCAAAGATGGGGAAGTGCATGAGCCCAAAATATGCTTTTCATTTCCATTACAACTAACTCATGGTTGCTAAGCAGCTATTCATTATAACTGACTCTCAGTTAGCTGTATCATTGGTTTCAACTTATCTTCTTATATTTTTTTTAATTTTGATCCCAAATCTAACAGTTGGGCAGACTTCAGGTGCTCCTAATTTTGAACAGAAACCCCACTCTTTCTCCCTCTTCCAGTGGATTTCCCAGTGTTGCTTACCCACAATTGAATTGCCAAGACTAAATTCAGCATCTGAGGATTGATTCAAAATGGAGTAATATTAGGTAAACTCTCCCTCAGGTTGAGCTTTACTCCTCATGACTTCAAGAACATACCCATATTCTTGGCAATAGTACAGAAGGAGGCTGCTTTTGCATGTTTCCAGGATGTTTTTTTTTTTTTTTTCAATTTCCCAGTCTAACTGCAGCTCTGGGATCTTCTAGTCATCTCCCATTATAGTACTAACGAGATACCACCTTGCCTAGATCAGCTAATGGAGGTGCTGCCATCATCAAAAGACCACTTCAATGAAATAAACTAAACTGCATAGTTTCAGTGGGATGGGAATGAAAAGCACGCATGAAATGCTGCTGCTGTTTTCTTCCCAACCGTAAGTATAACTTATGCATTGAAATATTTGTGTAACAACTGTAATTGAATGCCAGCTTTAAAAACAAAGAGTACAGGCCTATTCTATCATGTTCAGAGACAAAACAGTTAAGATCACTTTAAAACCCCATGATACTTACCGGAATATAGTAGATGTTCATTTTAGGGGCTTCATTGGCTGTGAACAGCATTCCTGCAAATCAAAAAAATTGAGATTGTTGATCTCAAATGCAGAACTTTTCCTCCATTTTTAACTTTGAGGAGATTGAACTAACTAAGGCTATTAGTGGGAACAAAGTTGAAATATCATACATTGCAAATCTATTTTCAAAAAGAAATTAAACAGTTCCACTGATATAGCAGCAACTCTAGCTCAGACAGAAGACCATTTACACCGAAGCAACCAGAAGTAATTATTTTTTCTCCCATCTTTTAACATGTACTTTTCACCCAATCAAATGCAAATGCAGATTAATTAAGAGAAAAACCTAGCTCAGTCCAATACTCAGTGCAACACAGGTATTTGACAAATGAGAAATTGTTCTTCTTCTGTAATACTGATAGCATTGGAGCAGGAGACAGGATCCTGTTTAACTTTAATTATTAGTAATGTCCCTAATTTTTATCTCTTTATTATTATACTGATTCTAACAGCCAAGAAATTTAGAACAAATCTGGATTTTTGAGTTTTGCATTATCCCGTATAGTTGACTTCTAACAATAGTAAGAGGTATGCTCTAATTAATACCCCTAAACTTAATCCTTGAATACAGGGGAAGGAATTGCCATCCTATAGCCAGATGGGGTTAAGACAATATTTGCATGCACACTTAAAAAAAAATATCCAACATTTCTATCCTCCTTACTCCTGAACAAGCAAGTTAATACTATAAAACCAGAACACCAATCAAACCACAGCAATCACAAAGAATTTTTAAACATGACCATCCATACACTAAAGATACAAGCAGTAAAAATCCATAGTTCCTGTGAGCACTCTGATTAAGCTCTGCCAATCCCATCAAATGATATCAACTTCCTGCAGAGAGTTACAGATTTAGTGTGACTATCTGCAGGATCCTGGCTCATGTGGAAATCAACATGTATACAACTGTATGCAGCTGCCAGCAGGAAGCCAAGATTGAGTGACTTTGGGAATAGGAGGGGCAGGGCTTAACTGCAGCATGAGGACTCCAAGTTTTTGAACATATGAATAGGGTTCCAGGTGTACAGTACCCTATTTAAAACATATAGGTCTTATATTTCTATTTTCCCATTTAAAAATTAACAGGCATCCAGTAAAGATGCTTTCTTAGACTAAAAAGAGAATCTCATGGGCTCCTTGATTAATTCAATGTAGTTTTTTTAAAAAGCTGCCAGAATATTGTCTTTTTAAATTGTCTTAAACCAATGAAAACAAGGGAGAATATCTACGATTCCTCACTCCAATATAAGCTTAAATCCAGAACAATCCATGAACCTGGAAAAAAAGTGTACTCATGCTATAGTGGGACCTTTTCTCTATGTCAGTGGAAGATTTCTCCCAGAGCAGCACTACAAGGAGATGACATTATAAAACATTTCTCCATCTGGGTGCCCATCCAGACACAAGCTTCAAACTCTCAGAGTGGTACTTGTAATAAATCAGGAAGGCATCATGCTGGAGGAGGCTGCTGTATGACAAGCACAGTGAACTAGTCAGGCAAGAGATATAGGAACATCTGAACTCCAGCAGGTTGTAAAGAAATCTACAGAGAGAAATACTGCAAATGGAAGAACCCAGCTGGATTAAGAGACATTCTTCTGCTGTCACAAAACCAGCCTTGAAAGTAAAAAGTGCTTTTCCTTAATGCTGGGATCCTTAGTGCAGTATTGGGGCATCCATGTTTCCATGAAACCTTCACAGTGTCCACTAAGCCTTCATTCCACTCTATTTTTCCATTTATTTAAAGATTCACTTTTTAAAAAAAAAACAAATGTAAAAGAAAGCTGGCACCGTGACAAGAAAAGCATCAGTCTGCAGAATCCCTGCATTTCCAAGAACGCCCCTGGATTCCATATAGAACCCATAAGTATTCTTAGAAAATAAAAATGGTGGGTGGTTACAAGTCAATGCTTTCCCTGGTGTAGAAAAGAAGAGAGAAAGAAATTGTGTAGCAGAGTTGTGTTAAATTGTGTAGCAGAGAGCTTCTTGAATAGATGGGACAGTAGACTGCAAACACACACACCTGTGTTCTGGTAAATCGCACCCATCACATCAACTATTTTGTGTGTCGCTAAGTCCCCAGTGCTATGCCAGCCATTTCCACTGAGGGCCAATATACTCTGAAAACATCAACTGTAACTGCTGGCTTAAGGTGGGGGATTCCTGCACAAATGGAAGGGGACCTCTGAGTTCAAGTCATGCTGGGGGGGTGGGGTGGAATTCACAGTGAACAGTGACTAGATGTATACAGTGGAAAACATTAAAACATATTTTTAAAAAGTAAATGAATCTTGGAACTTTTTCTGTTGTTTGAACTTGTTAATTTTAATCATCCAATCAAAACACACTTTTGAAAACAGAGCAGACTTCATCCAGTAACATGGAAAAAAAATTCAGACTGCTTTGAATAATCTCATTAGTAACAGAGAAAGAACGTATGATGACACTGTTAAGAAATCAAACATCACAGATGGTTGACAATGCAATTTTGGAATGGTGGAATAAAACGATCCAGTTCTAACATGACAGTATTTTTAATGGGAAATGAAGGTTTTGGAATGTAGAAATAAACTGATGGAAAATCTCCATGCAGAATAATTACAAAGTATATGTCTAGTATATCTCAGACTCATCACCCCTTGAACTGAACAGTCTTTTAGGAAAGCACAACCAGTTCTACAGCCAATCCTCACAGAGAATTCAGTATACAGTATAGCCAGTAAGAGCACAAACACTCCAATGCTGGTTAAAATTGCTAAGAATTCTGAAATGGTCAATAGATGCTTCAGTTGTTAAATACTGTCATAGGAATATGCTGTTCTATGACCGTAATAAAGATTTGATTGACTGTCATAGGAAAAATGAAAGTGGTCACCTCCTTCCAAATTCTCAAGAAGTCATCTAACAGTGGACAACCAGGAAAGCTATGAACCCAGGTAAGAGTGTCATGATTTTCACCTGGCTGACCAGAAAATCCGGACATTATTTTCTACTTACCTGAATTAGGGTACAGGGAAACATCATTAATATTATGTTCAGGTTCTATGGAGGTAAATATTTTCCCCTGAAAAAGAAAGGCACACATTTTGTAATAAATGCATACAAAGAAGTACCAACCAAGAAAGTCAGACAGTATATTCTATCTAGAGCTGAAGGTAATACAAAGAATTTCCTACTACAGAACAGGATTCTCCAGACAATAACTTTATTATCTGCAGCAATACTGTTATGTCTTGGTACTGCTAATATTAATCTGGAAATGTGTGCTGTTAAACGTAACAATTTCATTATTGTTTCAGCAAAGACTTGGTTCAAAGTCTTGAATCCACTAGGCTATTGCAGAGATTGGATACACTTAACAGGAGTGAGAATATTCTCTAATAACCAGCATCTATTAGACTCAGTATATCTCTGCAATGTAACATATGAAGCAAGTCCTTGCCCCATTGAAAAACCAACAACACTTAGGAAGTTCTAAATCAACAGTGTTGGGCTCATTGGATATACTTCACACTTTAGCACATTTTCTGTTACAACTGTATAGCAAACTTACAAATTAGCTAGAAGATATTATATGCACACATATCATTACATTTTAGAGCTGTTACCTAATTAAAAAGAGTGCCAATTTGGTGTAGTGATTAAGGCATCAGGCTAGAAACTGGGAGACTCTGAGTTCTAGTCCTGGCTTAGGCACAAAGCCAGCTGGGTGTCCTTGGGCCAGTCACTCTCTCTCAGCCCTGGGAAGCAGGCAAGGGCAAACCACTTCTGAAAAAGCCTTGCCAAGAAAACTGCAGGGAGTAGTCTAGGGAGCCTGCCAAACATCAACACTGACTCAAAGGCACAAAAAAATTAAATTAAATTAAATAAAAAATAAAAATGAAAAAGCAACTCCCCCAATTAAAACTCCTTAGTCTTTAGATCAATTGCATTTTCACAAATTCCTTATTTATATAACAGTTCTGAAAGGAAAAAAACACACTTGTTTTACACAAGCAGAAACAATTCTGCTAACATATTTACAGCTTTTGTAAGTACTTATATTACTGTTAATAAAGACACTTTACTAACTGAGCAGACTGTTTGAATTAATTAACTAATTCCTCAAAAGTTGCACCTTATTCATTTCAAAACCTGCCTTTTGGCCTGAAAAAAAGTTTTGAAAGAGGCCTATATCAAATTTAAAATGCAAAACACTTCCTTGATTGCTGACATACCCCCCCAATATAAAACCAATCAAATGATCTGTGCGTTACTTCAGATTCTCTTGATAACTTTGATCTACATCTAAAGCATATAATTCCCATTTTCTAAATGTCCATGCTCTATCTGCCTGGCTTATGAAGATAAGGACCGAGTTAAAGAACAAAAATTCCATACACTAAACTTTTTGATAATGAAGGCTTTCTATTGGGTTCCTGGAGGAAAAAAGTGAACAGAAAAGAACAGATGTGTGTGTATGCTTGCAAGATCTGTATCAGAAGCAGCTATCAAGCTGTTATGGTTTTTTAGCTATTGGACTCTGAAATTTATAGCACTTTTTAAAAGAGTGTAAAATATCCATCCATCCATCCATCCATCCATCCATCCATCCATCCATCCATCCATCGTTCTCACTAAGCTGTTACCTCAACTTTACACAATTGCAAAGAACATCTAGGAGCAAAGTTCCATGTCCAAATTGCATTTCCTTTTAATATTTAATATGCACCAAATCATAAGACTAAATTAATTGTCAAATTGTCAAATGGCACAGTCCAGTCAAATTTGTGACAGTCAAATTTATCAAAAGCACAGAAAAAGGAAGGACTTCTTAGCTCTGGCTAGGCTGGATTTGTTTTTATTGCCATCAAGCTCTTCTCCATATCCCTGAATAACTGACTCTTCACTTCCAAGATGTGGCCTATAGCAGTGTTCCTCAACCTTGGCAACTTTAAGATGTGTGGACTTCAACTCCCAGACCTCCCCGGCAGGCTTTGAAAAGCGGG